CGGTTGAGTTCGACATGCGGCGCGAGGGGCCCGCTCCGGCAGAATCTGATGTCAATGTTGAAACAACTACGGTTTTCTTAGGAATTAAACAAAAGCATCTTTTGAAAACTGTTGCAAACAATGCTTCGTTAGATGTGTTCGGAATTCTCGTTTCCGAAATCCTTACGAAACCTAGGGATTTTGACACAAATCTTCATGCGCGCGCCACGACGCGCGCGACAGCACGCGCGCAAGGGCGTTCGAACGATTTCGACATGCGCGCGCGCGAGGCCCGTTTGGTAGCATTTTATGAAACTGATGAAAGCCGATGGTTTTCTGGAGAATCTGCAGGAGCGCAAGCGCAGGTTTTGGTTTGAAAACCCTTGTTGCGCAGCCGTGTGTTTTCTTTATGTTTTCGGCATGCGCGCGCGACGACGCGCGCGTGTGCATGTCGTCACATTTGTTGCAAGGGGTTTGCGCGCATAGTCTTTTCTGAAGAGGATGAGGGGGGGCGGATACCGGCCTGCCTGGGATGGTACGCGGTCATTTTTAGGATGGACGATGGGGCAGAACCATATTTAATTGGCACTGCGAAAAGCTGGGCCGTTAATTCCGGGGGGGCGTAGATCCTGATACTCTTTTAAAGAGGAGAATCCATGTGGCGGCGACGGGCGGCGACGAGGCGGCGGCGGGGCGGCGACGGCGAGCACGGAGCCGCCAGACCGCCAGCCAGGCCCAGCCCCTCAGAAGCGACGCCAGAGCCCCGGGGACGGCAGACGCGGGCAAGCAAGGCATCCTCCCCGATCACGACGCCGTCCGGCACGACCTCGCCGGCGGCGCGCACAGAAAACGAGTGGGGCGAGGGGTGCGGCCTCTGAGCAGGCCGGGGGGGGCTTCCGAGGAGGGGTTTGGACGTCTCTCCGAGGCCCTCCTCTCCTGAGAGGCCCTCCGCCTTCTCAGAACACCACCCCGCTGCCCTGCCGACGACCGACAATCTGCTCAGAACTGATCCTGGGGCCGCTCCTGGGGCTCATCCTGTCAGCGTCCAGTCATGGCGACTAGAATCTCCAGAACCGCCCAGAAGCCTCCAAAACGATGACGCCGAAGATGACTCATTCGCCTGCCAGTGGGGGTCAGCCTTCTGGGGGTCGGAACCAGCGCAGGGCAAATTAATGGAAACAAGCTGAGACAAATACCATCCCCGGGCGAACAAATTCCACATATTTCCACAAGAACTGCAAAGGAAAGGCAAGCGAATAACTATCTTTTGAAACAAATGAGGGCCCGAAGCAGACAAGGGCATGGAATTGATCTTACCTTTGCCTGACCCCAGAGGGCTGACCCCCATTGGCAGGCGAAGAAATGCCGTCGACATCGTCGTCATCGTCGTCGCCGAGCTCACCTCCACTGGCAGGTCAGGCGCCAAGCTCGACAGCTGCAGCCGCAGCTCGGAGAAGACCGCCTCGCCTGTGAGCGCGTCTCCAGCGGAGCTTCCCACCGCCCACTGGCGCATGCTGGCGAACTCCTCATTCTCTCTTCGACGATTCTCGAAAAGCATGTTAGCGCAAACGTGTGCTTGTCCAGCGAAGCCCTTCCATTCGATTGCGACGATGGCCAGCCAGCATAAGGTGCGGCCTGCCGGTGGGACCGAGCGAAGGCAGCATTGTGGATGCCACGACAATGGACACCCTAACAGTCCTATCATTGAATTTAAAATCTGTTTAACATGTCGGAAAAGTGTCCCACACATGTTTAAACCATAGTTCTTACGTGCTTGAAGTATGCTTAACACAGTTTCTCTAGACATCTGGGAACTACTACTTGGCAACATGCTTCCTCTCCATGGGTCGTCCTCCACAAAGGTAGCACAGATTGGGCTAACACGCGTCCCGAGGACCACCGATCTTCCCAGGGGTCGATCAGGTGGTACTGCAGCGGGGGCCGACCCGAAGGGCCCCAGCACCGTCTCGACAGGACCAGCAGCGGAATGCGCCCCTGGTGGACCAGACACAGAACGACACCACTGCACCTACGACCCAGCGATGCTGAAAATTTGGGCAGCTGCCCCGTGCAGCGTCGGCGCGTTATCACGGAGATCGAGGCATCTCCGGCACGAGTGCGCGGCAAGGTCGCAGCAATTCAACACGGCAGGTCGTAGGTGGGGTGGTGCCGTTTGGCTCTCGTCGGCGGCGAACCTGGGGGGAGGAAGTGGGAAGGGGCGGGCCTTCTCAGAAGGCGGCGGGGCTTCTCAGAGTCCCCCCAGCATTCTGAGAGGCGGCCCCTGTCTTCAGAGAGAAGGCTTGGAAAGTTCGCACGAGGCGTGAAGGCTTCTGAGAGAAGCCTCGCCGACCTCTGAAACGGCCTGCCCCCCCTCGCACCTGCCCCCTCAGCTCGCCGCCGATCCTGGTCGGCCTGGAACACGCCCACCTCCGCGATGCGCAGCAGCGGGTGGCGCCGGTGCTGCTCCGGCCGCCTGGGCTGCAGCTCGCGCCAGACGCGACGGGCGAGCTGGCACACGACCTGGCTGCGATTCCAGTCCCCGTTCATGGACCACTGCAGCCCTTCTCCCGCCAGGGCGACCGCCGTGGCGGGCGAGAAGCCCGCCGACGCGGCGGCGTGCCGCCGCAGCATCCACAGCTCCATGAACTGCGACCACATGTAGGCGAACCCGTGCATCCACGCGCTGGCCGCGTCCGACGGGTGCCGCCGGATCCCTACCCGCAGCGGCATCTCCAGGTGGACGGCGTCCCAAGACCGGCGGATGAGAAGGAAAACGAGGAGGAGGAGGAGGAGGAGGAGGAAGAGCAGGAGCAGGAGCAGGAGCAGGAGGAGGAGGAGGAAGAGGAGGAGGAGAAGGTCAAGGAGGAGGAGGAGGAGGAGGAGGAGGAGGAGGAGAAGGAGGAGGAGCAGGAGGAGGAGGAGCAGGAGGAGCAGCAGGAGGAGGAGCAGGAGTACTGAGTACGGAGTATTTCCTTGGAGGTCTGTCTATGCCATCCCGCATCTGAACTGCCTCGGAGTGTCGATCTTTCACCGACTGTCAAGCCAAGCTGAATATGAAAGCGGCCTCTGGCCTATCGGCCATGGGCCGCGCTGCCCCCGAGTGGCGACCCCGCGCGGAGGAGGAGGAGGAGGAGGAGGAGGAGGAGGAGGAGGAGGAGGAGGAGGAGGAGGAGGAGGAGGAGGAGGAGGAGGCGGAGGAGGAGAGGAGGAGGAGGAGGAGGAGGAGGAGGAGGAGGAGGAGGAGGAGGAGAGAGGGAGGAGGAGGAGGAGGAGGAGGAGGAGGAGGAGGAGGAGGAGGAGGAGGAGGAGGAGGAGGAGGAGGAGAGAGGGAAGGAGGGAGGGAGTGAAGTAGGGAGGAGAAGGAGGAACGTGAACAAGACGAGAGGATGACGTCCCACGACCGGTGGAGCCGCGTCACGCACCGCTCGGGCACCATCGAAGAGAGCGCCGTCCGCTCCCGCTCCTCGCCGCCCAGGCCGCCGACCTCGGCCAGCAGCCGCGCGCCCGAGGCGTTCCCGCCCGAAGCATAGAACGCCCGCGTCAGACGCCGCTCGAAGAGCACGAGGGTCATGTTTGGGCAGTGCCAAGGGGGGTCACCACCAGGGGGGCCCGCCGCTTCCTCGAGGAAACGCCACCTCCTCGAGGAAGTGGGCCGACGAGGGCACGCCAAAGCCCTCCGAATATCGGACAGCGCGGAATCCACATATGATCGAAGTCCTGAGCGAAGTGGACTGGATTGGACTGAAGCAGGCTGAACTGGAACAGACTGGACTGAACTGGAATGGACTGGACATTTTCGTGCCCAGCGGGCTGGACTTTTTCATGTATGATAGCGGACAGGTGGTAGCGTGCTCAGGATGACAATCGATGGCACATCACGTCCAGCAGTGCCACTACATGCATCCGCAATGCGATCGCCACAAGGTGAAACAGTCTTCGGCTGATAACCAATCTTTCCTCTGAGAATCGGGGTAATATGCCAAAGGAACTAAGGTCTCATGTTGACTATGCTCAGTGGTAGAGGATACGGGATGAGACATCAATGAAACTGTAGGTTATCCGTTAAGCAACTGTACTCAAGTATAGGAAGTGAGGAGGCCGGCCAGGGACGGACGACGACACGGGCCGCCCACGCGCCCCCCGGCGCGCTCCTTTTCACACTCGAGCAGTATGATACAGCTACGGTATACAATGATGATACCAATGTCAAGGTATGGCAAGGCAGGCAGCAGGAGAGGCAAGTGTATAATGAGGCGGAGAGGAGCATATTTACTGAAACACATAAGGCACGGATATGCTTAGAGACGCCGCTACTGCTGAGGAGAAAATTCTCCCAACAAAGCTTGGCCCTTTTCCGGCCTGCCAGGGCCTAACTACTGATACGAATTCCCACCACCACGTAGCCGCGAGAGCGGGCTGGTGCCAGACAGGAACCCTGATGGCCCCGGCGGCCGATCCCCCAATCCAGCAGGGAATGCTATGCGCCCGGGGATGCTATGCGCCAGAGAATGCTATGCGCCAGGAAATGCTATGCGCACGGGAATGCTATGCGCCAGGGAATGCTATGCGCCACGGAATGCTATGCGCCGGGGAATGCTATGCGCCAGGGAATGCTATGCGCCAGGGAATGCTATGCGCCAGGAAATGCTATGCGCCAGGGAATGCTATGCGCCAGGGAATGCTATGCGCCAGGGAATACTATGCGCCAGGGAATGCTATGCGCCAGGGAATGCTATGCGCCGGGGAATGCTATGCGCCAGGGAATGCTATGCGCCAGGGAAAGCTATGCGCCAGGAAATGCTATGCGCCAGGGAATGCTATGCGCCAGGAAATACTATGCGCAAGAGAGTGCTATGCGCCAGGAAATGCTCTGCGCAAGGGAATGCTATGCGCCAGGGAATGCTATGCGCCAGGGAGTGCGATGCGCAAGGGGATGCTATGCGCCAGGGAATGCTATGCGCCAAAAAATGCAATGCGCCAGGGAATGCTACGCGCCAGGTAATGCTATGCGCCGTGGAATGCTACGCGCCAGGGAATGCTATGCGCCAGGGAATGTTATGCGCCCAGAAATGCTATGCGCCAGGGAATTGCTATGCGCCAGTGAGTGCTATGCGCCAGGGAATGCTATGCGCCGGGGAATGCTATGGGCCAGGAAATGCTATGCGCCAGGGAATGCTATGCGTCAGGGAATGCTATGCGCCAGGGAGTGCGATGCGCCAGGGAATGCTATGCGCCGGGGGATGCTATGCGCCAGGAAATGCTATGCGCCAGGGAATACTATGCGCACGGGAATGCTATGAGCCCCGGAATTGCTATGCGCCAGGGAATGCTATGCGCCAGGGAGTGCGATGCGCCAGGGAGTGCGATGCGCCAAGGAATGCTATGCGCCAGGGAATGCTATGTGCCAGGGGATGCTATGCGCCAGGGAATGCTATGCGCCAGGGAATGCTATGCGCCAGGGAGTGCTTTGCGCCAGGGAATGCTATGCGCCAGAGAATGCTATGCGCCAGGGAGTGCGATGCGCCAGTGAGTGCGATGCGCCAGGGAATGCTATCCGCCAGGGAATGTTATGCGCCAGGGAATGCTATGCTCCAGGGAATGCTATGCGCCAGGGAATGCTATGCGGCAGGGAATGCTATGCGCCAGGGGATGCAATGCGCCAGGGGATGCAATGCGCCAGGGGCTGGACTGGACTGGACTGGGGTGGATTCTGCTCCACTCTACTGTACCCGACCCTACTCCATTCTAACCGACGATATTATACCACCTGTTCTACTCTACTCTGCTCTACAGACTCTACCCTGCCGTACTCTACCCTACCCTACCCTACCCTACCCGTATCTACTCTACTGTACTTAACTATGTTATATTGTGTTCCACTCTATTCCTACTCGACTCCTGCTTTGCTACACTCTGCTATACTCTAATCGCTCTCTTATGCTACTCTGGTATTATATACTCCCCTCTACTCTGTCCCGCCCGACCCTATTCGACCCTACCCTGCAACACCCTACTCTGACCTACTTTACTCTACTCATACAACCCGCTGGATTAAAAAGTGGAGACTGTGGGGGTCCAGAAAAATACGGTTGGCCTCCCGTTTGGCCGCGGGGCCCCAGGGCAATGTTGTAGTTGGGGCCGATTTGTGCATTACAAATGCATCTCTAACCGCTTTTAACGTTATAGCGGCCAAATGGGGCCAGCGTCTGAAAGTGCGATTCCGGCCGAGACTTCCCCACAAAAACTTTCAGATCGCCTTCCAGGGCGATCTGAAAATTTGCCATGGCATCTAAAAATGGCGATTTCGCGTGGGACTTCTCAGGACAACAAATTCAGACCGATCTTCATGCCGCTTGAGAATGGCGACGTCGCCTGAGACTTCCTCACGGAGTATTATCCGGCCGCTTTTCACACCGCCAGAGAGTTGCGATTTCGCTTGGGCTGTCCTAGTACCGCGCGCCTCGTCGACCCGTGCGGCGCCGTTCCTCCGTTCGGGTCACGAGCCTGTCTTCGAGTCATCTTGAGATCGATCAAAGATCGAAACTCGAAGTTGTATCGACTGGCGAAGACCCAGGGGTTGTTCCCTCGCATAATGCCGATCACCATTTTTTAATCCAGGGGGTAGCATACTCTACTCTGATCCTTATCTACTCAATTTTCCTCTCCTCTCCTGTCCTCTACTCTACTCCTCTTCTCAACTCCGCTCTACTCTTTTCTGCTCCACTCTGTTATGTTCTAATATGCGCATATACTCTAGGCTAGTCTGCTCCAGCTCTACTCTATTCTGCCCCTATTCTGCGCTACTCCACTCCACTCGATCCCGAACCCATCATCCCTAGCCCCTCTTACTGTATACTCCTTCTCTGGGCTCTGCCTTCCGATCGCCGCCACATCCGGGGCCGTCCATCCGACCTGTCAAAAAAACAGCACAACATCAATGCGTTTCGTCTAAGCCGAAGCATGCTGTCGCCCACGTTGCAAAACGCGTGGGAAGCATGGGGCGGGGCACACAGCCCGCACGAAAAACCTGAGTGTCGCTTTCGCCTCGGCGCCGCGCTCCTTTTTTCTGGAGAGCTGAACTCTCACCGAGCTTGGGCCCGCAAGAAATCAGCGACAACAGAACTCGTTCGAACACGGGGCTGAAGTAACGGCTTGCGCCGTCACTGGAAATTCAACGGGATGCCCCAAACGCGGGGTAACTGCGCCGCTCCTGATGCATTGCCCGCGCGACATACACGCGCGCCGTGATTGGGACCGGCGGCTTGCAACTCAAAGCGGGGCAACCGTTACCGTGAGCTCAATGGGAATGGGGGACCCATGAATACAAGCGGAACCAGAACCTGGCCTTTCATCCGCTACACTGTTGGATCGAATCATACTCCACCCCCAGCAACGCCTTATATCCGAGGAGTCGCATCAGGACGCGTAGCCGGAGAGCACCACGTGCTCGGGCCGAAATATCACGCGCGTCGTCGCGCGCGCATGCCGAAATCCTTCAAAAACCTTCGGTGTCGCAAGGCT